ACAGTAAAGCAGGGCTGGGCATTCTTACCCGCAAAGGGCCAGGGGGACAATCTTACCCGTAAAGGGCAGGGGTGGGCAATCTTACCTGCAAAGGGCCAGGGTGGGCAATCTTACCCGAAAAGGGCCAGGGTGGGCAATCTTACCCGCAAAGGGCCGGTGTGTATGCAGGTTTTTGGGGTAACCTTTAGGTCAGCTGTTCAAACCCAGGTATGAGAATTCTTCAATCAATCAGTCCTCTAATTAGTAATCTAATTAGGGAGTTGCAGCAAAAACCGGCATACACAGTGACCCTTTCTGGATAAGATTGCCCACCCTGGCCCTTTCTGGATAAGATTGCCCACCCCTTCAATAAAGCAATGCATGGCTGGACCCCAGCGCAGGACGTGGCTCTCAAACAAACTCAGCTCAGTTCAATGACGCTGCTGGATGTAAGATGGGAGCTTTAATCGTTTGACTCATGGATCTGGAGGCTGATTCAGTGAGAATCTCGCTGCCAGCATTAGCTTACTGCCATGGCACGAATGCAATGAGTAACGGCTCGACCCCGATCGGCCGGGTGTGTCTACCTCTCCGGCAGGCCACCTCTGATTTACGAATGAGAATCACCATGTGGTATTAATTTCCACTGTTCCCAGGAAACTCCAGAGGAATCTCTGTGCATAAATCATCACTCCGCATGCCAGGATCTGGTCTTACATCAACACCAAGAATGGTTAATGATCCTGTGTTTAAATTCTAAATCCCGGTACTTACCAATTGGCCTGCATGACCCACCGCAGGCTAATACAGTAATCTAGGCTGTGGGAGATTTAATATCAGGTTTTTGACCTGCCCCCCCCTCTGACACCTGCGCCCGACATCATGGGCACAGTCTTTGACTGAAACACTTCTTTCATAATGATACTTTTAATCGCCACATTACTTTAGTCTTCATATATCCCATCATGCTCTCCTCCTAAGCATTAGCTGAACACCACTGGGAGAAAAGTGATGACTAGAAAAGTCTCTCGTAATTCTTGCAGAAGATTTCGTTCAAAATATCACCTCCCCACCCCTGGCTAGAAACCCAATCTACGGCTGTGACCTCGGGGGCGATACCTTCCCATTTGTTATTTATTTTTTTCCCTTCACAGGAGACAATTTCATGACTTTATCCCAGCAAAGCCTTTCAAAACATCACTCAGAAAATCCACCAAATGACATCATTCTCTTGCATGAGAGAATCCAGTTGCCAAATCTGCTAACAATGACGTTTGTCATTTCAAAGACTTTGAGAAGATGATGATAATAAAATATCAGATTAAGAAGATAAGATGACTAACCACAGAAATTCCACATATAAAATATTTATACACACTCGGCTGTTGTGGATGCAGCATTGTCGTTTTGCAAAAATGCATATATTGCGTTTCTTCTCTGCTTCACTGCACCGCTGCAGAGTAGCTGGTGGTCTGTTTCTTTCCGTTACTTTGTGGTTCAGGACGTCCCACTTTAATTAACCTCCACTCACACTGACATTCACTGATCTTGAATGTCACTTTACTATAAATTACTACTTTAAGAATGTCCATAACGCAGTGGAAAAAAAAGAATGAATGTTACATTTATATAGTGCTTTTCAAACACCTAAAGCACTTTACAGAACCAATGAGGAGCCGCTTCAACCACCAGCACTGTGTAGCACCCAGCAGCAGCCATTCTGCACCAGTACGCTCACCACAGAGCAGCTGAGGTGGCGAAGGAGCAGAAGAGAACTCACCAGTCAGATACAGGGAGAGAACTCACCAATCAGATACTGGGAGAGAACTCACCAATCAGATACAGGGAGAGAACTCACCAATCAGATACAGGGAGAGAACTCACCAATCAGATACAGGGAGAGAACTCACCAATCAGATACTGGGAGAGAACTCACCAATCAGTTACAGGGGATGATTAGGAGGCCTGATTTGAAAAGGTACCATTTAGCCAGGTACCACCCCTACTCTTTTGAAAGATTCCCAGGGATTTTCTACAACCTCAGAGTGTCAGGACCTCGGTTTTACGCCTCATCCAAAGGACGGCGCCATTGGGATCCACACAGACCACAGGACAGGCTCTCGATTCTGTTGACTACACCAAGCCCTCGTCCAATGTTTACTACTGTTTTTCATTTTATCACATTAATCATACTTTTGTATTTCTCTGTCATCATCACTAGACAGTCTCTCTACAGGGCCGATCGGAAGCTCCTTAGACAGAAACTTAATTTTGGGGGAGATTGGTGGGTCCCTCTTAGTCGATTTTACCGATCAGGGTGGGGGGCTGGCAAAAAGGAAGCTGGGTTGGCGGGGGGGTTTTCCTCCTCGGTAGATTTTGCTGGGGTCCCCCTCTCCTGATCCGGCCCTATTGTGCCTACAGCTAGATCTGGCCCTGCCTGTTTACACTAAATCAGCCTCTCAGTCTGATCCCCCACTAAATGGGACGCTTGACATTTCAAGTTTCTGTTGTGTAGTTACTGCCATTTTCATGCTTAAGATTTCTCTTATTTACTAATGGCAGGATTCAAAGGGCAGAAAAGGCAGGAAAAATATGGATCCATATCCCATAAAACAGTGAACGTGTATTTTATGCTTCAGATAGTGTACATAAAAGAGCATAATTACGTTTATCCACTTAAAGGAACAACAAACACCAGTGTTCTTTTACACGCCACAAAATGCACTTATAAAACGCAGTGCCTGTTTATAGGCGCTTTATAAGTCCATCTTCGTGTAAAGAGCGCTGTTTTTTTTATCCAGATATGTCCTGCTCTGTGAAAATATTTTTCCTTGTGCGTAAAAGCGGTCACCCCGGCCCTTTCCTTTTGTTTTGCCCTAAGTGAAGTTTCCTTCGGGGGTTTATTTTCCCACTGCCGTATTTCCTAGTCGGGATCGGGAGGAGGTGGTGGATGTTTGCTGGAAAACCTCACTGCCTACGTAACTTTTACACCGGGATATCTGGATGCTGCAGGGCTGCGTTTTGCGGTCTTTTAACCAGGACTGGTGTCCCTGTGCACGTCTGTCTAACTTCATCTGGTCGGTAAAACATCCTATAAATATTTTGGTGTGCTTTTTTCTCGACCCCATCCTATCTGCACGCGTAAAGCAGGGTGCCCGCTGTCTCCTCCGTCCATCTGCCTGCAGAATATCAACCTGCGCTTTTCACAAGAGTAATTATGTGAGAAAGTCCCGAAAACTTCGCAAAGATCCCTAAGTCAGTACACCGGAGTCGGGATCCGTAGAGCCGCTCCTCGGGGGACACACGGGCGAGCCAGATGCAGTTTCTGGTACTCGTGGTGACGGCGGCGATCGCCGGCTCTCCGTACCGAGCCGCGGAAGCCCAAGCCCAGGCAGCCAAGGCGCTGAGAGCCGCCAATCCGCGGCGCGACGGTGAGTCCGAACCGGCCGCAAACTGTTAGTTATTTATAAGCCATGGCACGTTTAATTCTGCAGGGGGATGATCGGCTGCAGGACACTGTGTTTGTCACGTATTTTCATGTTGCGGTAATGAGAGATTATTTCTACGCCTTTGTCAAGCTTGTTATTAGTGCGTTAAAAATAGATTTTTTTCTGCGTTCAGATTCATTTGAACAAAGTGCGTTTAACTTGTTGAACTTACCGGCTCCGTTACTAATATAAATTGCATATGAAAGGCACAGTTTAAATGTTTTTGATGTCTCCATGTGGTATATGTGTTTCGCTTTTTAATTTACTTGCGATGATAAACATACTGTAAAATGTTTATAGGCTTATTAAAACATATTCTTTATGCGTTCACGGGCACGTTACGCCTGTCATTGGCATGACCGAGGACTTTGACGAAGTTCACTTTCACACGTTATACACTGTCTTTGTTATTACTTTGTAATCTGCCTGTAAAACAAAGCTTAGGTAACAAACTAAAAAAGCCGAATGACCCCGTGTGGTCGGCCTGGGATGTCGGGGGGGCTTATCAGCGCCCCGCAGGCTCAGTCGCGGCGGTTCCCCTTCCTCACACGCCGCTTTACGCTCGGGTACATCGGGGCCAGCGAGGAGCAGCCGCCTAATAACCGTAATAAATCTACAGATGCATAACAGAAATACGGGATCATATTCCTACATGTACAACTTTGCATCTTTCTAATGGCTGTTTTTGTAACATACACTTTCTCAGAGGAGTTCTCTTGTTCGGCTATCATACCCGGTCCGTCCCCAAAGGGAGACACAGTTGATCATCATCTAGTCCGGCCGTCATGGGTCCAGGGTCAGCCTGGAGGCAGCAGCTCCCAGTAACGTCTGAAAAGTCTCAAACTTACACTTCGCGGACTTGTACTTCTTTGTCAGAGAGAGATGTAAATACCATTGTATCAGCTACACTTTGGCTCCATGTGTAAATACATGGGAAGAGAGAGCTGGGGCAGGGACCTGGCTGCATGGCCTTCGGGGGGGTTGCGTCCTCTGCACTCATTTTTGGCCGCCGCTGTTTCCCCCCGAGAGCTTCACCGCCTCCGCTGCTGAAGCTTAAGTATGTCCTTCACCTTCTGATTCACCTGGATGTGGCGAGATTGTGCTTTTTCTCTGCAGGAGATCGTGCCGTTATGATCGTTATGGTGTCTCTATGTTATGTCCAACTGGCATTACTGAAGCTCAGCAGATTAAGCCTGTATTACACACTGTAACACACTGCTGCTCACTAACTATTCTTTGAGGCACTAATCTGTATTTACTTTCTGCTGAATATTTGTTGCAATATCCCCTCAGCTCTGTGTGCTTGTTGGGATATCCCATCTATTCTGTGTGCTTGTCGGGATATCCCCTCAGCTATGTGTGCTTGTCGGGATATCCCCTCAGCTATGTGTGCTTGTCGGGATATCCCCTCTGACCTGGGTGCTTGTCGGGATATCCCATCTATTCTGTGTACTTGTTGGGATATCCCCTCAGCTCTGTGTGCTTGTCGGGATATCCCCTCAGCTCTGTGTGCTTGTCGGGATATCCCCTCTGATCTGGGTGCTTTTGGAAGATTCTATTTCTTCTCTGTCCTTGTTGGGATATCCAATTGTTGGTTCGCCGATCCTCTTTCAGTTTTGGTGGAGCATAAACATGTAAAGAGATTAAAAGCATAAAGAAGGTGCATCACTGCTGCAAGCAGACGGGGTAACTGTGGTGTCCTCTGACAGCAGCTACTGTAGTGTTTTCTTCATTTCCCTAGTGTTTGATAGCAATTCATAATCCTCAATTGCCTGCTAGATGCTGCAGACCAGCCTAAGAAGGTATCTTCTAACAGCTGGCCAGCCATACTCAGTTAACAGCCCCTACTTGCTGGCCTACCTGCCATCACTTGAATCACCTGGGGCAGCTCACCTCCCAAATCCTCCCCCCTCCCAACAAAGCGCTCCTTTCAGTCTCTGACAGTAGGCCTGCTGAGTGGCATAAATACCTGGAATTCAGCCACTGCGGCTGCCAACGATGAGCGGGACACACACAGACCGGTCGCTCTAGCTGGCTCTCAGGATGAGCGGGACATACACAGACCGGCCGCTCTAGCTGGCTCTCAGGGCAGGTTACACTCGGAAGGGGTTCCCCCCTGGGACTGTGTGCAGCTGCTAATGATGTGCAGCCCTGTCATTAATAGCCGTGAGGCTTTCTTACCTGCTGTGGTTTAGATCAGTGTTTGCCAACCTGATCCTCAGGGACCCCCAGACAGTCTACATTTTTGGTCCCTCCCAGCTCGCGGAGAGGGACCAAAACGCTCCCTCTCCCAGCAGTGAGCTGGGAAGGAGCAAAAACGAGAACCGTCTGGGGGTCCCTGGTGGCCAGGTTGGCAAACACTGGTTTAGATGATTTCCGAGCCTCAACGGCAGCTCTCCAGCTGGGGGCAGCCCTGCCGTTTTGAGGGACAGAGCCGTTGGCCTTGTGCCAAGAGACAGTCCCTGCGGACACACCGCTGGCGTGGGGGTGACACTTGCTCCCTTCTGCCATCTCCAGTCTGATCCCTGAGTCTCCTGTCAGTCAATTCAGAAGGGAAATTCAAAGTTTGGGAGGATAACTGATGCATATTTCTGCTGTGTCAGAGCTGAAGCTGTGATGAGCGATGAGTTAGGACTCAAACCCAGACCTCATAACTTTCTAGCACTTTCTTGGCATCCTCGTGGCACAGACCCGGCGCGTGCGTTTCACGCTCTGCTGTGGTGGTGAATGTCTGTGAGTCACTTTGATATGCGTATCTAACGCCAGCTCGAGTCTGGGCTGGATCGGGGGGTGTTGTGGGAGATGGCCGATGCTGTATAGGCCGGATGGGCCTCCCGTGACCTTCCATGGCTGCAGCACCAGAACGAGATTAATGCTTTGGTGGCTGGGAGTGTCCCAGTGGGGTGTGGGGCCGATTTCCCTTGCCCTCGCTGGGTCAGTAGAGGGCTGCCCCCAGGTGGAGATGATACCCCCTAAGGGGTGATTAAGGGTGGGGGTGGCGGTGGGGGTGTCTCAGACTCTGAGAAACGTGTCCTCTGGGTTAAAGAAGCACTTTCTTCTATTTGAGGCATTGTCAGAGAGCTCTGTTAGACCACACCGGAGGCCCTGGGTTTCCTATGGAAAGGATTTGAAACTCCAGGGCAATTTCAAGACATGTTTTCCATAAACTGAGACTCAGGAGGATGTGACTTCCTGGGATTTGCTTTTAAACCATAGGTTCCCTTGTGGGGATCAAAGTAACATCCAGAAGAGGCAAAAAAAAAAACAAACACCAGCCTAGAAAACTACAGCCAGAGTCCAGACAGGGGGCCTCTGATTCCTCATGGGAGCAGCGATGGTGGGAATGGGGCTATGGAGGGAGGTGTCGTCATTTTAGGATTGTAATTAAAAAGGGACTTTTGCATCAAGTGTGAAGACAGGGAACATGGGAGAGGGCCTGAGGGCGACATCACTGGGGGGCAGAGCCAGAATGTGTGTGTGTGTGTGTGTGTATGTGTGTGTGAGCGGGTTTACCTATCCTTATGGGGACATAATGTCCCCATAACGTGATAAATATCTGTTTTTTTTTCCTTATGGGGACCGGTTTCCTGGTCCCCATAAGGGAAAACTCTATTTTATAAAAATCGGTGACTGCTATGAAAAAACTAAAAATGCAAAAACTCCTGTATTTTGTTAGGTTACTTATGGTTATGGTTAGGGCAGGGTAGGGGTTAAGGTTGTCATAGTTAGCGTTAGCATTTTTCCCATTGAAATGAATGAGCGGTCCCCATAAGGATATGTTTACCCTACGTGTGTGTGCGTGTGTGGGGGGGTCTCCCATGGTTTACAGATCTCCTCCTTTACATGATCCACAAAAATGACAGGCATCAATTGAGAAGCCATTACATCCCCCACAAGACGTGTGATTAATGCCCCCCCCCTTGTCAACCCTCACGCTATTCACATCCCTCATTATGGCTCTCCACACGTCACCCTCTCAAGACCCGCCAAAGCCAGCCCGGTTCTGAGAAATGGGCCTTGGAATCTCCTCCCTGGACTCCTGTGGAAAGCGGCATCTGTGGGTATTTGGTCCAGTAGCTTAGGATCAGACGTCCAGGAACGGGATCTGAGGGAGAAGGACCAAAGCGAAGATTTAGAGAAACTGTCATTTTACAAATGGGAGCTTAGTTAGGGCTCACGGTCCCTCTGAATCGTGAGCTGGGACCAAATGGCGGCTACAGGCTGCCTGATACTGGGCCGACCCGTCCAATCCCCATTAGAGATCTTCACTCTCCGGCTGGCTTTGTCCCAGGGTAGCGCTATACGTGCCCCCACTGCTAGAGTCTCTCTCCTTTGCCATTTCAGGAACTCCCCCTTTCTTTCTGGGCTATGGGGGGGGGTTAATCAGGACCTCCCTCCACCTGTCAGGGCAGAGTCATCAATCCAGAACATACACAGCAGCTCTGGGGCAAAGTGTCTCTCCCCCGAGAGGTGAAGGAAAGAGTGTGTGTGTGTGTGTCTGTGTGTGTGTCTGTGTGTGTGTCTGTGTGTGTGTCTGTGTGTGTGTCTGTGTGTGTGTCTGTGTGTGTGCACCCTGCCTTAACATAGACGGCTGTAGCTAAATATCGGGTGATTTAGCTCAAGTAAATGTCAAATTAATTCACCAAAGTGTGTTTTTACTTCTGGGATGGAGCCTCGGCCTGATGACTCGGAGTCGGTACCGGAGTCTGAGTGAAGTTGGCAGACAGTTGGTACACAGACACCCGCCCATATCTCTGCTCTGATGTATTATTCAGGATCAGCTCTCATCTGTAATGTAACTTGTGACATGTGCAGCACGCGCCATGAGATCGATGGCGTCCCCTGCGCTGCTGGGGGCCGCCATGATGTATAGCGTGCGAGCAGATATTGATATTGCAGTAGGGGTTATATGGGGACAGAAGCCACCCCCCCAGCCTTGTTTACTCTGCATTTTTGCCGGAGAATTTGTTTTTCATTAAGTTGGGTAACGGAGATGGATTGTACTGTCAGCTGGGGGGGGTCCCGTGTGCCCCGCCTGACGTCTCCAATGCTTGGAGCTGCTTGGGGGGGGGTGCGAGGCAGTGTAGCAGGTTAGTAGTTAAGGGTTTCAGCCAATCACAGGAAAGGAGGTGAGGTTTTCGTTCTCGCTGTTAATACACAGGCAGGGCATTTGGGAATTCGAGAGTAACAACCCTGTCAACAAGAATGCTTGACATTGGGGGGTCACCTTTCTGCAGCCAAACACTGTGCCCCCCCAGCTGAAAAGGGGTATTTCTATCCTCCTTATGCCAGCAATGAAGTTGCCAGCATCGACACTCTAGCGACCCGGATGATGAGTGAAATGGCACTTTGCTTTTTCCTTATAAGCCTGCGCCGCGCTGCAGTAGTCCGTCTCGCTGAGGGCCGCGTCTGTGTCCATAACGGGAGCGCGTCCCCCCCGTTTATCACACTCTAACGGCAGGAAGCCCTGCTGATAAGACTGTCAGCCGCGTGCTCGCGCTGTAAGAGCGTGAGTCACGTCTGTGAGCGAGCTGTGCGGCACTGCGGGCTTAACGACAGAACCGCACCAAAGTAACAGACCTGAGGGCGTCGTAACTCACGGCTTAAAGAGGCTTTTCCTCATTTATTTACGTTGGCGTTTATCAGAGGCCTGCCTGCTGTCGGCTAGCTCGCATTCCTCATGCCTGACGTTAAAGTCCTGATATGATGCTACAGGGTGGCCAATTAATTTTTTTAGCAGGCACTTGTATTAGGAGTATAACGGTACACATACATTTTCGGTACGGGTCTTTCGGTTCGGTATGCATGTGTACCGAATAAATGCAGCAAACGCGGAACCTTTCCTCTGAGCGACAGGCCGAGTCATTGTAAGCCATGGTAAAGGGGGGTGGCGGTGAGGCTGGTTAAACACATGTGCATTAAAATGATGACAAAATCATTCCCAGAGAGTACAGGACACCCCCGATCCTGTAGACTTTGGAAGTGGCCAGATGAGCGGACCTTCCGGTTCCTTCCAGAGTATCCTGGGCCGAATGCTGGTGAACCCTGGTGGCAAGGTGAAGAAATGCATTCTGGACCAGCCATGCGCGACTGCAGCAAACGTCTCTGCGGCCATGCACGTCTGCGAGGAGGAGCTTCAGCGAAATAAAAACAAAAGCCGGGGTGTGACTGGAAACGGTGTGAAGCCGCAAATGAGCCACGCTTTGGCTGCTAGTGGCGTCACGCTGGAATAGTTATTCAAGTGAAGATTGTGCAACTAATTGGGGATGCGGCGGGACACGTGAGCCAAATATAACCGTGTGAGGCTCACGCTTAGCGGTCGGCTTCACGTGCGACACCCGTACGTGCAAACCACACCCTTCCCGTGTGTGCCACTATTTTCAGCATTTTATTTTAGAGCCTGTCTCCATGACGCCTAACCCGGCCCGGTTCTGTAGAGGGGCGGCTCTGATACTGGGCCCTCATAGTGTCTGGGGGGGACACTGAGGGCCCAGTATGTGAAAGACAGCACCTCTCTCTCTTTCTCACACACATACACACACACACACACACACACACCCCTTGTAGCTAATGCTAACACACCAACAGCAAAGTGCCTTTCCATCACCTGTACCATCACCTGTACCATCACCTATACCTCATTTCAGGAACCTTCTGCCTCTCCAGCTCTGTGGCCCTCAGACGTTGGTCTTGAGCCCGTGAAAGTCTCCGTGACACTCAGCTCACGCCCCCACAAAGTGCTGAGCACCTTGAACTGCATGAGGACCTCATGAGGGGCTTTAGTCGCAGAACTATCATCCCGCCTGACTTTCGGAATGGCTTCATAATTTACCTGAAGTTGCTTCCTTTATCAAAGGTACAACAGCAGAAGTTGTCCGGGCACTGAAGCCAGATTCCTAACCCACTGCTCCCCGTTGCTCTAAAATGAAGAGTGCCCTTGATGGACACTGAACCATGAACCAAGAGGACAAGAGGATGTCTCAGTACAGTAAGAGAGCTAGAGGACACACCCGCTGAAAGACCACTGACCGTGAAGAAATACCTCATCAGCGTTCCCAGCCCAGTCTCAGACGTGCATGACACACCGCCACCGCCCACAACGAGGGATGCAGGAAATGCGAGCTTAACAAAGCTGCTCGATATAAACATCACAGAGATGGTTCCGGAAGCCGCAGGCCGTCATGGTCCAGCAGGAGCTCTGAAAACACGGACGGACGTCACGGAGAAGCTGCTTTTGTTCCTGTAGGATCTGCTTGTCTGATAAGGACTTGGACACTGGCTAGCAAGCAGAGGAGGCCTCGGCTTTGGCGGGGGGGGGGGGGGGGGGGGGGGGGGGGGGGGGGGGGGGGGGGGTCAATCTGGCCCTACACTTTTATCCCCAGTAAAGAATCACAGCTTCAGGTTCAGCAGACAAACAGGGCTTTAGAACAGCACCGGTGAGGCAGGGCTCTGCTTCTGGCTCGGTGGAGGTGGGTTTGGCGCCACACATACAGATCTGCAGCTTGGGTTCCGTACCTTGGTGCCCGTCAGGGTTTTTACAAAGAGTCATTTCTAAAATGCACCTCGTGATGCATTTTAGAAATGACTCTCACACTGAGTGCAACATCACCCTTAGGGCTGTTCGACTAACCCAGTGTTTCCCAACCCAGTCCTCGGGGAACCCTGGACAGTCGACATTTTTGCTTCCTCTCAGCTCTCAGCGCACCTGTACCAGGTATTCAGTGTTCCTGACTGGCTGGGAGTTGGGAGGGAGCAAAAACTGGACTGTCCGGGGTTCCCCAAGGACTAGGTTTGGAAACACTGGACTAACCCATTATAATTCTCTCCTTAACTTTACCTTGGTTCATTGGTGATGGCCGGTTCTGCATGATGTACTCGATTAGGTGGTACTAAAAGTACCACAGAACGCGATGGACTCATGAATGAGCCATGGGAAGATTATTCATTTATCCTGCATTTGATAATGGAAGATGAGGCTGGAGTGCGGTTCCTCAGGACACCGGTTCTAAATCCCAGTCATCAAGCTTGATTCTGGGCTGTTCGGTTTCATTGCCACTCAATTTTAAGGGCGGCTTTTCATTCCCCCGGGATTCTTGAATGATTTGTCCAGTTGAGCCTTCCAGCACTTATACGGCGCCCCTGTCGAGATCTGGGGACAGCAGCGTATGTGTGACACAGGGGGACACCGAGTGTCAGAGATGGCAAAGAGTCTATTGGCTGCCTCCACCGCCTCCCTGCCGTCTCGCGCTTTCCGTCTTGCCCTTAAGCGGCTCACCCTTCAGGATGTGCTTCTTCCGAGTCACCAGTATTATTCCAGCTGCGAGTCATTATTTTACTGCTGGATTTGGGTCGAGCCAGGAGAGCGGAGCCGTCGTTCGCAATGTGGCTGATCGACTGTTTTTCTGCCGAATCCGTGCATCGCCTGCGTGAGAGTCGCATCCCGTCAGCCTGACTGGTAATGAACCTCACCCTGTCAGTCATCCTGCCAGCCGCAGGCATTCTGCACCTGCCAGGTTTCAAATGACAAGGCAGCCGCACTTAAAAGGAGACTGTCATCACGTCATAATAATGTAAACGATGTCATGCCATGCAGGTGGGTCTTCCAAAGGGGCATGCCGGTGAGTTTCAGGTCCTGGCATCACCGTGGAAACAGTGAGAAGCCGGCTGTAAGTTTCCTTCTGAGTGAGAACACAGAAAGAACTTATGGAAAATGAAGTATTTTAGCAAGCATCCTGCAGATTTTAGGATGTCAGCTTCCTCTGTGTAAGCTAGAGGTCAGGTTACATGTAAGAGGTCAGTGACAGTCACCCCTCTGCCTTGTAGCTCGTAGCTGATCTGCCTGGATGGCCTGTTGCTGAAATACTTCCCACAGCTACATTTCCCACCAAAAACACGGTGCAGGCAGTACACGATCAGTGCCTCTCTGTGCCTCGGTACACGATCAGTGCCTCGGTACACGATCAGTGCCTCTCTGTGCCTCGGTACACGATCAGTGCCTCTCTGTGCCTTGGTACACAGTCAGTGTCTGTCTTC